CTAGTACTAGAGAAGTATCATCGAGAGCCAGATGATAGACATTTGGGTTGTGTTGAGGGCTACATGGCATGATTTTATAGGGTGTCACACCCTACCATGACGTTAGACGTTCCTGAAGAACCACCTAGGCCAACTAACTTTGAGGTACTTAAGATTCGGGATGAGCAGGTAGAGAGTGTGACGATGGTATGTCGACGTGTTGCAGAGATGGGTAGAGGAGACATAGAGGAAGGACTTTTTGAGGATGGTTCTCCTTAGTTGGCCCTCGTGCAGACCATGGTTGTCGAGTTACATAATGGTGTGTAGTATAAATAGCGAATGAGACAGGCTTTTAGACATACCTAATAATTTATATTGGGACGTATTATTTTTTATATTTTTGAATGTATTTTTGGACTTCTGTTATGTATGATTTATCTTGACTTTTTTTATTAATGTAAATTTTTACTCTTCTTTAACTTTAATTTTACATTGATTCTACGTTAATTTAAGTTAATATAAGTTAATGTATGAATTTTGATCTTGCAAAAATTGAATGTTTGAACAATGGTGTTGTTCTTATGTGAATTAGAGAGGGTTCCGAAGATACATCTCCGAAATAATTCTCTTTTGTATTTACCACGCCTCCAAAAACTTTCAAGGGAGAATTCAGAGATACATCTCCAAAAACACCCAAATATTATATGGAGATGCATCTTTGGACTATATTTTGTTCAAAATGATGTGGATATTCAGAATAACGCATTTTGGTTGTGATTTGAGTGGGTCCGGAGATGCATCTCTGGATGCACGGAGGACTTTTATTTTACTTTAAAGAGTGCCATGTGCTTATTTATGTAAGGGCATATTATTGAGAAAATTCCCTAATCTAAAGGATGAGATTTCTGAAAGATTTAAGAGAATTTCTTAATGCAACCTAAGTGTTTCTTAAGCTCCAGCGTGAATTTCCAAATATGCACCAAGGAACCGAAAATGTATTTCTGGAATACACCAACATCTAATTCAAAATAACCAAAACCAAAAATACATTTTCGATTAATAACCAAAAGTGTATTTATGGTATTATTCATTACACAATGCAGGAAAGAAGCACTTACACATTACATTAAGATTCTCAAACAAAACATAAAATTACGTAAAGTAAGCAATACATATGGGATTTAAACATATATGCAACATTATACTTCAACATTCGGGTGGACGTTGCAATAGCTTCAGAATTTGATCGACCATTTTTGTAATCATCACATCAAGCTCGATTTGAACTTTTTTGTCGTAACCGAAAAAGATTTCCTATATAACTCGTAAATGAGTGTTTGTCTTTATTTCTTTGTTGATGAACTCAAGCTTTCCATCATTGTTAATGGATGGAGAGCGGTATTCAATCTTCAAAATTTTCCGATTGTCTCCAAATGGTAAAAGTCCATGTATTATGTAATAAAGATCTTCAAGCGGTTCGTACTTGTTGGTCTTGAATTCCCTTGATGATAAATCTCCGATAACGAAGTGAACATTTCCAACATGCCAAATGATATTCATTTTTTGTTTTAGTGTTTAGACATGAGATAACATGAGAGATGAGTTTCTTATATAGTAGTTTGAGAATGTTATAGACCATACACATCCTATTTGTTGACAGAATGAAAACCGGAAATACATTTCCGGTTACACCCTAACTGAAAACTAGAAGTACATTTTTGGTAAAGTCTCTGGTACTAAAAATCAGAAATAGAGAAATAACAGAAAGAGCATAATTAATAAAAATATAATAGTAGATTTCATAAGTACCAAAGTGGGAATATTCCACGTCATAATTCATTAACAAAAAGGCATATACATCAAAGTCATATTTAACTACTTAAAAGATCCGAAGTAATTGTCTCGCGACAAATCCACAGGTGGCACACCCTTTGACTTTTCCTTATTTTTTGCAATTTCAATGTTCTTTAACTTGTTGTACTCTTGCATCCTTTCAATAAACTGGTCATGCCAAGTCTCAAATTGGTTTATATAATAATTCTCTCATTCTTGTGATGTGGTTGGTATAGGGCATTCCAGTTTCAAATACACTAGAACAAAATATCAGAGATTTGAAACCCATCCAACACAAATGACACGATTAGTAGGATTAGATGTTAGATCTGTGCGCAACGGGAAAAAAATTTCCGAGAAATCGTATCTTGTAAGATTAATGCACACCCTCTCATACTCACTTGTAATGAGATGACCCATCTCAGGGAAACGTAACCATTTATTCTCCGGTGCAAATGCTTCCATGAATGGTACAAAAGCGTTATATATTTCTGCAATCTTATTCTTATTCTCGTACACTCGTGTGTACAAATCTCTATGGCTCATCAACTCTTGCATAAGATTTTGGCAGACAAGTGTGTGATCCTCTTTCTCTTTACTGAGTAAAGTAGAAATATCCTGAAAACCACAATTATCGTCACCATCAACATTGTCGATCCGACTAATGTGATTGCGTATAAAAATCGACATCTCATCAATGAATGGTATTTTTGGTGGAGGCGGTGGAGGTGGTGGAGTTTGAGATTTGCTTATGCAAGCATATTTGAAGACCTTTTTTTGAGATTTCAGTGTCGATGAATCGGAAAAAAGTTTATCAACATGTTCAAAATACGATAGACTCCTCGTAGTAGAATTTTTATTTGGTGTAGGTTTGACCTTTTTTTGTGCTCCTTTTGTTTTAACTGGTTGAGACGGTGGTTTCAAGTCAGTGGTCTCTGGAAATGCGATTTTCCTTTGATGTGGAGTTTTGTGTTGTCATCGTATTTCCTAAATCTTTCTTGTATCGCTTCCTATTCTGTCAAGATTGTAATACTTGACTTTCCCTCTTCCATTGTACTTCGTCTTTAAAACTCAACCTCTTACAATGACTACATACCTCGTCCATTCGTATCGGGATATCAAGTTTCACCTTCTTATATATGACACAAGAATACGGGAGACCATATGTTTTCACAATTGTGCAACCACACTTAGAGGTATCAGAGCCTAAGTCAGAGGCTCGTTTGGCTTCACAAAAAATTAAATAAGAGTTGATCGTGATATGTTGCCAACCAACTGAAAATAGAGAAAGTTATCTTTGAGCTTGTGTTCCAACATTGTAATACTACGACCAAATAATATTTGATTTTCATTATGCTGGTCAAGTATCATTTGGTTCTGTGATTTCCAACCCGTACACAAATCACCTCTGTTATTTCCCAACCAATTCTTCAAACATACATGAGTCGACTAAATTCGATTTGTTATTGTATTTCCAATATGCATAATCTGATCTATCCATGCACAAACAATCTTCTCTTTCACCCGACCTAAAATTGTAGTCTCAACGTATTCAATAAATTGAGATATTTATCGCACACTTTCCTGAAATATATAACAACGTCAGCATATAAATCTTTGATAAACGCATTTATGATAACATTCCAAGCAGTCATAATTTTCTCCACAACAACGCCTGGCTTAACTAGTTTACCCTCTTCAACTTCAATCTGACTCGTCCCTACCGCAGGTTTTACTCAGCTTCTCACATTTTTAGTAATGTGATACTTACAAAGTAATGCAGAAGAACTCAGGAACACCGCAACAGAATTCATCAGTGTTGTATCGCGGTCGGTGATAATGACATTCGACATATTTTCTTGATCCTTTAACATTGACCGACAAACCTCTAAAACCCATGCAAAATTATCCTCTTTTTTGCACTCTAGAAATACAAAATCAATGGAATATGTCATTTCAGTCGACGTAACATCGACAATTTCCTACAGTAGCAACCTATACTTGTTGGTCTACGTCGAATCAATTATAAGCACGGTAAGAAACGTATTGAACAGATTAATGTAGATTAAAAAGAAGAAGTTTTACCTTAAATTCAATTTCCTTTAGTTCCTTTTGATATAATGCACCACAAGAATGTTGATTTTGAGTGAAAATGAAATTGAGAATGTGAAAAAAATTTAGGAATATTTTAGTCACCTTTTGAAATAAGCATTGAACAATATACCTCCATAGACCTTACTGTTTTAAGCTTTTGATTTCTCAGAATAAATCTGAAATGTATATCCAATTTATAGGTGACAATTTTTTTGAATTTTTCAGCACAAATATTCTAGATTTTTATCTCCGGTTTCTTCAGGTGTTATATTTCTGATATGTTTCTTACATTAAACAAGAGTATAATAAAATTTTGCCTTGCTTGATGAGAGTTAGGAAGCACCCCAAAAATACATTTCTGAAGCATTTTTGGTTTTTAATAGGGTTATTTTTCCCTATATAAGATGCCATAAGAAACTCTCAAGATTTAAAGAACGGGAAAAGAAGCCCACTTGAATGTATACGTCAGGATAGTAACAACATGGCATATGGCTAACTGAATAGTATTAACATAACAAAAGATGAGTTACATTATATTTTTGGGGAGGAGGCAGAGAATTGGTGACAGAACTACCAATCTTTTGAAACATAGAGAATAACATGGTTCTGGTTTTAAAATTTGACAGAATAGTGCAATTTAGAAGATGAAAAATTGTGCAAGATCAACAATTGCAATTTTAACAGTTTCATAAATTGATACTGTCAAAAAAAATTAAGCACGCCGTCATAAATTGTCTAACATGCACGTGTATTTTATCACCGTAGTAACTGTTAATATTACAATCAGTAGCTATCCTCAAATTTAAGTTTCTAGAGGTTACCTTGCAACTCTAGAGTTACTGAATTCCTGATTTTTGATACACAATGTTAAGCGTAGATCGCAAACAAGGTCGACACTTGACACATTACACATATGAACATAAATTGAATCTAGAGCATTGTCTTGAAGTTTCAAATTAAATGTCAGGGTTTCTCGTAAAAATGATGCCTGCCTACTCATAGATTCTTCTATACCACAATTTACAAACCTCCAAGCTTTTTCGATGGTGAAAGTGCAAAGATGCTAGATGCAGTTGATGGAACAAAATCAGTCATCAGCAATTTGATTGGTGTTGTTTGGGATCATCGTTAGAATTATCCGGCGATACAAGTTCCTCACTTTCTCTATTTTCTTCATTGGTACCATACCTGAAGATAGGGGCGGAATGGTCAGAAGTAAAACCAGTACTTACAACTTAGAAAAGGAAACAAAAATTAAAATAGAAAACAAATGATAAATACAAGCATGCATCAACATACACTGTTTGTTTAACAAATTGTCCCCTAACACGCGGCCGCTGATCTGCCAACTTTTTCCGGCTCTGATATCTAACCTGAAAAATAAACAAATGATGCTAAATACTATTGAACAACAGGAATTAATGTTGGCATATATACCAGCCTGTGCATGTTGAGGATAAAGATCAAATCATTGACACAAGCATTAAACTCATACAAGTAATAGATTCAATTTGCATAGGATGCTTTAAAATGATATTTTTAATACCAGAATCAACAAGCTATCAATTTAGTAATAGATATTATAGGAACACAATGAGCAGGGAATAAATACATATTTATTCTAAAACTGACTACACATACGTGATACTACGATCTTCAGCAAACTCATTATGAACCGAGTAATTAAAAATAGACTACCTTCTTTTCAAAGCATCTTTCTTTTCTCTTTTGACGAAATTTTAACAAGGCAGCCTCTCTCAATGCAAATCGTTGTTCATAAGACCCATTTCCAATGTTTACTTTATCAATGCCACTAATTCCAAAGCTCCCAGCCTCCACATTTCCATTTCTCACATTTATCATTCTGATTGTCAAAGTGTTGCTTCCATCCTGCCCATTGCTCCCATGATCACTCTCAGCTGCATTTCCATCCAAACCATAGTTCGTAGCTGTGCCATTGCTTTCTGCTGGCTCTCCAAACGCATTTGACATACATTGCTGATCATCTTTGGTTGTGCTTTCAACTAAGAGATCATGAACTGATTGGAGATCTACTGCCTCCTTATGGAAGATGCGGTTACAATGTTGAAGTTGATGCCGAGCATGCTCGACTTGGAGCCCTTGTTCAAAGACTCCTGCCTGTCCTTTACCGCTTCCGGCACATTCTTCCTGGGCAGAAGTCTTCTTCTGAGATGTAGTGGCACTATTACTTTGCACAATTTGAAGTTCAGAAGAAAAAGAGCCAATCCCTCTAGAAGACTCGGGTTTCTTGTCAAAATTTTCAGGTTTGGTACTAAGATATGTATTAGTGGAAGTCAGGTCGTTGATGTTGTTGCTCCCATTAGACTGTTGATTTGGAAGAGTGGCATTTGAGTGACATGTGAAGTTCTGTATTGTCTCTGTATTTGGTGCAACTGAACTATTGTCTAGTGGGGAACAGCTTTCTACATTTCCAGTCTGAGCCTGATAAAATGTACAGATAACATAAGGTTTGCCCTACCATTGAGATTTGGTTCTACACATTACTTTCCAGCAATTGGTACTGGCATTTGTCTGTCACAGTAAATATCTAAAACCATGCCCCGTAACTGCAGCTCAGAAGATAAAAGGCTGCTGGGGAGCGGGTTCAAACCCGCAACACCCCACTTTTCCGCACTTAGCGTGTGATTTTTGCCGCTAGGCTCTTTGAAACAACAACAAAAAAATATCTAAAACCACTGAAAATAACTAAGACATGCAGCAAATTGTCATTTCTTCATGTTAGTTAAGAAATGACTGGGATTTGGGATTAAAATAAGCAAATAAAACACAATCTTAATGTTTATAAATATATAACCCCCTGCTATCAAAGGAGTAAGGACAATAGAACAGTACCTGGGAAGCGGAAGCTGTATTATATCTGCAGAACCAAGAAAAGAGAACACATTCAATTACGTAAACGTTATCAACAAATGTAATGCAACAATATATATGCTTCCAAGAGAAGGTTGTTATGCTTGCAAGTTTCCTCTTACTTGGAGAATGCCGACAGATCTGAATGTCTCAAAACATTACATTCATCACCTGTGACATGTTCAGCATCTTTTACTTCTCCCATCCTTTTCAATGTTAGTTCAAGTGATGGGTGCTGTTTGAAGCAACAACTTGTTTTTGTTTTTGCAAAACCAGAAAAACCATTAGAAGTGTTCAAATCTCTGTTTTCAGCCTGTGGACTGCTGCTATCAGTAACGCCAACATTCATAGCCTGATTTTCCTGCATCCTGGTTTTATCACTGTCCTCTTTAGGTTGTTCACAGACACTACTATGTCCTTTATTGAGCTGCATAGCATCTATATCAGACAACTTATTAACTCCTTTACAAATTGGATTGTTAGATAGTTCTACATGTGGAAGCTTTTCTTGCATGTTCAAAGATATTCCCATAGCTAAATCTTTACCCATTGCAATATCATCTGGAAAGTACAAACCGTTTATTTGGGTGAAATATCAAAATCAAAAAAGGTAAGTTAATAAAAACAGAAAAGGATACTACCAAGGCATACCAGGATGATCAATTGGTTTATGGCACTCTTTTTCTGTGGCCTGGTCCCACTTACTACTAAAGTTTTCAGGCTTTGGAAGCACCACTTGGGCACACGTGCTATCAGGAGTATCATGAGATCGTTTATGAGGTGAAACTGGACAAGGGCTGCTACTAATTTGAGCTAGATTTGTAGTCCATGAACTCTACACAAAATGGGGGTATTTAGATGAATAAATAATTTAGGGGAAACCCCGGTCTAGGAATTTCTAGAAAAAATATTTCTGCTTCACTAAAAAACAAAACCAAGTAGAGTATTAAGTAAATATATGGTTAACCATATTCAAAAGCAAAAACAAGCTACTAAAAACGAAAGAGAGATAGCACAACAAGAGGGACATGAGCATCAACAAAAAAAAACACCAAAGAAAATTAAAAATAAGTAAATAAAATGGAATGAGGCCAGGCTACCATTTTCCAAGCAAATCTTGGCAAAGGTCATCCTATGTAGGCGAACCAAGTCAATGAAAGATATCCATTATTCTTCTCCTATTTATTGATCTTTCAAGTTAACTTTCATAAAATAACAACTTGTGGTATTAAACTACTTATTGGTGTCAACTATTTAATCTCTAAAGTTTTTCATTCAAAAAGGTACGTACCGGTAAATTGACCATCACATTCAAGACCCATAAGAGTCATTTAGAAATTTTAAACCCCATTTTTCATTCAACTATTCCATCCCTACTACTCCCTTTGCTCCTATGTATAGAAAAGTTAGTTGTGTAGTTATTTTGTATGTTTTATGTGTAGCTATTACTAAATTAAGCTTTATTTATAGATATGTTTAATTTGACTTTTCATCTTCCATGATAAATTTGTAGTAATAATAAGAGATATATTTGGAAAAGGATAATAAGTGTATCTAGAAATTTATAGAGTCATGTATTCAGGGACAAGTAAAATCTTCAAAAGGGTCTTATAATCAGGGACTGAGGGAGTATATCTCTCCAGTTCAGATTTTTGTTTTTTAATTCCCATCTATAAAACTACTACTCTTTTTAAACTCAACACATGCTGGAGCTTCAGTTCTGAAAACCATCACTTTTGATAGATGATAGATCAATGACTCTGATGCTGAGTAATACTAGTTGTTTGTAGTCTTCAATGTTGACTGGCTTTTTGTGTTCACACTACACTCAAAACTAACAAACAAAGATGATATTTGGATTTTAAAACTCATACGCATGAATGAACAATGACATCAACACAAGATATTTCTATAGATATTTGGTACATACTTAACTGGTTTAATTTATAAAAATCTACACATGTGAGATGCGTGTAATACCTGAGTTCCACTTCCTTTGTCACTTCCATCTCGAACACTCAAGCCTCTGCTTCCATAATCATTTTCATCACTGCTACCACTATTGTTGTCATATGCACAAATGCTTCTTGACTTTGCAAATTTTCGGGTGTTTGTCCCACTTTCACTCCCACTATCACTAGACTGAGAAAGTGTATTAATCTATGTTAAGGAACGTCATTGATTGTTAATGAATTAATTTTTATATTTAAGTTTGTCAATGAAATGATCCATAAGATAATATCATGCTACAAAAATTAGTTAAGCTATACTATTTCACTAGTACTACTTGAAGGCATAGATTTTCTAGAAAGGAAGTAATGGAGTAAAATTCCTCAATTGATCCATACATCAACAAAGGACTAATATCAATATTTGAATACTGAACTGGATAATTAAAAGTTCAAGTTGTTCAAAGATACGAAAACCCACAAAATAAAACATGATGCTGTAGGAATAATTAGTATATTTGGTTTGGATACCCGATCATATACTCAAAATCATGTTCACTTTGTTCCAAAAAAAACTGGGAAACATCATTCTTTCGCATTTGTTTTATCAAATGCCTGAGACGTAAATGTAAAGCAACTCACACTATGGCATCTTCTCCAAACATGTTGCCAGAGGTTTTTAAGTTCATTCCTCCGAATAGGTTTCACTAAAAAATCAGCTGCTCCTTTTGACAAACACTTAAAGACAATACCCATAGAATCATGAGATGACATCACTGCATGCATTTCAATACGTTCAGTAAAAGAAAACGTCAAATGAGCTATAATCATTGAAGATATATATATATACTGCAATACAATACAGAGTATGGCTTTGGAATGACACTTACTAATCACAGGAATATTCTTCAGAGCTATGTGGCTCATGATCTTGCACAAAAGACCTATTCCAGATACAAAAGGCATAGCTACCTCCGTTAGAACAAGATCAGTTCGATTTCCTGGATCTTCTAGAACTTTCCACGCTTGAAGACCATTCGAAACAGCAGTGACTGCAAATACCAAAGGTGAAATTTATCATATTGGCATGAAATATAAATTATGTCTCAATCAAAATTAACAAAACAACACATAAATACCTTCATAACCACAATTCTTTAACAGAGCACACACAACATTGCGTGTGGAATCATCATCGTCCACCAACAGAACTTTTATCGATGTAACAGGCAGAAACCTTTCCCAGTAAGTAACCGGAGCTCGGGGTAATGGTTGCGGCGAAACCTGAAACCTCTCATGGATTTGAGTCGATCCCTTCACCCCATCGTTTCCATCTTTCATTACCTTACTAAATCTCGTGTCATTTCCAGTCGACGATTCAGAACCTATCCCTTCATTAACTTCCCGATTTTGTTCCCCCAAACTTTTTTTCCCAACATTATTATTCATTATATCACCCTATACCAACCACACTCAGAAATCAACAAGGCGACGACTTATCAGGAATGCACAAATCCAATCCCCTTGTTGTTTGAACTGTGGATTCTCCATATCATAAGCACTTCACCCATCAATCTCTGCAAACACAACCTTATCTACCAGTCAACTCGATACTCTAACCATAACTGTTTTAATTATAGATAAACAACTTAATGACCGTGCTTATCATATAAGTGATTATGTAAATAAGCTATTTCAATAATATAAAGCTATAAGTTGTTAAAAACAGAATCGAAAACCTAAATAGCGTTTTAATTAGATCGACATGGAGGGAAAAAAATAGCATACTTAAAGGATGATGAAACAGATCTTCATGGCTTCATTTCCATTCCCAAGCTGCATGCAATAACTTAGAAAAAAATCAAATAAAAAAAATAGTCAAAGCTCAAAATCCAAAATAAATTTAAAAAAAAAAAACAGATATATATTTTTTTGAATGAGAGAATATGAGAAACTGAGTAAACGAGATTCTAACATTTCTTGTGTTGTTTTTTTGCTTAATCTGTATAAGAAAAATGATGATAAAAAAGGAAAAGACTTTGTTTGACTGGTGGTAGAGATTGAGAAATGGGTAAAGCAAAAAAAGAGAGAGAGAGGAGAGAGAGATAGTGGGAGAAGATATTATTGTGAAGAAGCTGACGTGTAGAAAATGGAGGTGTGAATTCTCTATGGGAAAATGGGCCCACGTGACGTGGCAGTGTGAGTGGTTGTGTTGGTGTGAGCTGGATATATATAATATCAAAATCTGATAGGTTAGATGGAGGAACTCGAATCTTGTAGGAGGTTGTATATCTAGACCGTACCATGTCCATGTCCCATCTTGTAAAAATAAGATTTTGACAAATTTTAAGAATCAGACATATAACCTTTCAAAACTATTAAGATAATAGTTTTACTAACTGCAACATAAATCTCTTCGATGTTTAATTTGATCAAAGAGAAAAAAATTATATATTTTATAATTACAACATTTCTCTCTAATGCAATTTTCATTAAATTTATTTATTATTAATCATACAATATATTAATATAATAAATTTAAAAAGTTAGAAAATTAATTATACAAGTCATGCGGTCCAACCAGTGGTCCATTGATTTGACTAGTAACTCAGTGATCCAATAACTTAACTGGATCGATAATCGGTATGAGTTTTAAAACATTGATTTTAACTCTTAGAAGAACAAAGGACAACAAGTTCAAATGGAATTTGTTGGAATTATATCATCGATGAAAATGATGATACCACAAAATAATCTAAAGTTCAAATAAATAAATAAATAAAGAAGAAATTAAAAGTGCTTTCGGACAATCCAAAAATCTAATAGAATGGGTTTAATCATAAGTGTTTTTAGTCGCAAGTAGAACCTCATCAAATAATCGGACATTGGATCTCATCTAAGCTACTCTTTCATCAATCGTGGTTTAATTTGATGGGATGGTTCTTACATCATGTGTCTGACTAGAAGAATATGGTTTAAATTATTGTCATATATAAGTCTTGTCACGCGCCATGATAGGTATGATCTCACTCTCACAAACTACATTTATCTAATTTCACTAACTTGGACGTTGGAGTATTAATCTTGTAGGTTCATCATTGTCTCGCCGTACTAGAAATTCTTACCACTGCACTGGAAGAACTCACTCCTTCCACACTATCCAATTCTCATTCCACCATGAAATAGTAATGTTTTCTATAGGAATCAATTTTTTATTCTCGTGAGCTTTCACATCGAAATTGTTTAATTCAGAAAGTCACACCTCATTAGCAACGACTATGCTCGGTTAACACCAAAACCACCAACAAAACTAAAATTTTGGCACCGATACGCAACATGCTCATACTAATGTTTATAACATCATAGCATGATGTCATAACATATGTTACGACGTCTGTAGACAAACTGAATAATAATATCAAACTGAAATATTATGCAGAATTTTTAAATGCAGAATGATAAAGAGCACAGTCAGTTGTTAACCCAGTTCAGTGCAAATTCATCTACTCTGAGGGCTACCAAGCCAAGAAGGAAATCCATTATCAGTAGTACTAGTTCAAAGTTAAACTATCTCGTTTACAACTTCTCGCTTAATCCCTACCCATTGTAACTTCTACCTAGCACCTCTTTGATATGAGAAATTGTCATCTCACTTCCAATCACCGTAGTGATAAAAGACCTACCCCAATCCTAGTGGCAGTCTAAACCAGTTACAATCACAGTAACTAGTACATGAATAAACCCAATAGAAGATTACATTTCAAATACAAAAACTTAGTTAAGACTCTTAACTAAGAATAGTATTTGGTTTGCATAAAAGCTTTTACCAAGAATAATACTCCACTCTTTGCTAAAAGCATAGAGAAGGACAATACTCAACTCATTACTTAAAGATTTATGAGTGAGATAACTTATATCTACCTTAAAGTGTCAAAACATACAGAGGGTGAATTACATCACAAGGAACACGAGGGACTCTCAAAATCTAAACACTTACTTTTACAATTTGTTAAGAACTAATTTGCCCTAGGTTTTGGTCTTTCTTTTATAAGCCTTTAGATGTCCTTGAACTTCGATTTCTCTGCCCAATTATTTCTTAATCCATGCGCTGATTGCTGCAGAAAATATCTCCTTAAATCTTGGAATAAATCTTCAAGTATCCTAAATTAGCTTAACAACCAAATTTAGAAACTTTAATGTTGGTGGAGATTTGATTCCCTTATTCCATATTGCATATCCTTGACCTACGAAAATAACTTAGATATATCCAAAAGAATCTTAGAAAATCAAATTAAATCTTGTCAAGAATTGCCAAACAGCAGCGTCTGTTGCATCAGACCAAGATGTCATGACATTGTCTTTGATATCTGGTTAAAAATCACATACATCAAACATGTTATGATAAACCATGTTTTACCAAAATTTAGCCAATCACAAAATCATAGTACTAACAATCTCTCCCTTTGGAAAATTTTGGCTAAAACACTCTTAGCACAAAAATTCGGGAGAAAGGAATAAAACCACAAACAGGGTAAGACACCAGATTTATTTCTCTCTATGTCACTAGTAACCCAACTAGAAAATCACCAGATCAGACTAGACCAAAACTAAGGAAAACCCAAATGACCTACATGAGTTATCCAAGTTCACACATTTGAGATTCATATCCTCAGAACAACATACATGAGCTATTCAAGTTCACACATAAATAAAATGTCTGAACATCTTGTTCGACATCTCTGCCTACCAGAAAAGCACAACAATACCAAAATCACACAAGCATGACATGCTAATATGTTCCCCCTAAATACTTGCATATAACAAGCAACTGCAACTACACGACTACTCCTTGTTAGTAGTAGCACAATCTTATCACAATGTCAAGACGCAACACTTTACTTCCCCTTTTTAGCCAAAATCTTTACAAAAGGAAATAGAGTAAATATAATCATATAATGGAAACACTGACTGTTTTAGACCATATTTCACTTAGATAATACCCAAACAAATGGAAGCACAAAAGATAGCACCAACTAAACGGATTACTCAAAACAAGAGACTCAAACATGTTATACTCAAACATGTCATTATTACTGAACACAGTTGCAGAACATACACACTATTACTCCCCATGCAAATGACCTTTTGCGCTCCTTGTTATTTTCAAAATTATACGAAATATAACAATGATCTCACATGACATGGATACACTAGTAAATAAATTCAATAAGAGATTTTTCTTTGAATTCATCCTATTATGAATCAACAATATTATCTTCTTTAGCTTCCAGCAAACAGGCTTTATAGCATCAGCCTTATCTAGGATTTGTTCCTCTTGAAACTTAGCCCATAACAATTGATTCTTAAATAGAGAGAGAGGTTACCTTACTTGCATCGAAGAGTTAGTAAATGGAAGCATTTTCGAAGCAAATGTAGTTACTCTTATCATCAATGCATCACTCACCACAAGAGAGAGAGAAATAGACTCTCTTTTTTTCTAAAATTCCCAAGCCTTGACTACTGGGAATAAAACTCTGACTGACACAATCTAGGCTAACCATAACTGATTGGACAATAAAGTTTACACGTCTCCTATGTTGAATCCATAGCAGAGCAATTTTAAAAACACCTTTCAAGATTTCAATCTGACATGCATCCAAGGACTTACTAATTCTGTCTCATAATATTTCCCCAGGGATCCCAAGCTAAGGGAAATACCTTTGCTTGCAGCAAGATCAATGACAGAACTTAGACTAGTATCAAAGAGCTTAGTAAAGTCAAACTTGCAAACTTGATTACACAAACTGTAACCAACTTTCCACTGTGCAATGTCGTAACATCATCTTTGACATTGCATGAAAAATACTAAATAGCAACAGTTTCCTTCAACATTATAGTTATCCTTAGTAAAGACTAGGATGCAAACAAGACTTAGCTGATTTAGGAGATAAGCTTGCTTCCTGGGGACAATCATCATATAATAACATCTAACTTTTTATATCAACCTGTATTTTTCTTTGTATATTTATAATGTGCACAACTTTATTCCAACAAACACTTGTCAAAGTCTCCTCAAATTCTGAATACAAGATAACATCAATCTTGAAAGATAGTGGAGATCCTTTCACAAACCAAATTCCTTGTTATCCATCCTCTGGATAAGAATCCTTAACTCTACCTGACTTGAGAAAATTTCGGATTCAATTCATCCAGCTATTCAAAGTCCTCTAACTTGGAGAATTAGTTTCCTGGGATGATGTTCCAATGTTTGGTTCAACATCATTTCCTTCCTTAATAACAATAACATCTCTATAAATTAACAACGGTGAAGCTCATAAATATTCATTAAGTATAGTTAAAACCTATAAAGATTTTTAAATAATTAAAAGATGTCTGATTCTTCCATGTTGTAGTCCACCCAATTCCTTTTCAGAAAAACCAACAATCAA